TTTTTTGTGTTTAAGGCGAATGGCCAGGCCTCCCTAAAAAGGGAGAGTGCAATGCCTGCCATAAAATATCCCACTTGCCACTTATTTTCACGGTAAAAAGCCGTTTTACATTACAAGTGACTCGTGCGATATTCCATGGTATACCATTCGGAAATGTTGCATAATTAGTCTATCCATTGCTGATCAAAATTCTCGGATTACATTATGCTATCCCATACTAAAGTGCATGAAAACGATATCATTTCCAACGGCACATATATATTAAACTAGAAATTTATTATTTCTCCTTCTGATATATAATTGATACATATAAATAATCCATTCCTCACTACATAACCTGCATATAGCTAAGGGTGATCTCTGTTGTTACTCCAATTGGACCCTGTACGTAAAAAATAAATTTGTTCTCGTTATTTTAAATATGATTATAAAAATATAATATGTATAAATATATATTGAGACTGTTTGACAATAAATCTTTTCCATTGTGATTAAGAATAACCAAATGTCCTTGAAAGTGAAAAACCTGATCTTAATTTAAATTATTGCGGGTTTTTTCAACTCTGCACGTGCTAATCGATAACAGATTGAATTCGCGTCTGTTATTACATGCGCGATGTAATTCCACGCCAGCGTGGGATACCAGTTTGCTTCATTCTAGAAAGTTGTCATAGTTTATATTTTTAATAAGCTATTTTTTTTCTGTGTAAACGTCGTAATTCTGAGTTGGTAGTTCTCTTTACTTTATATACTTTGCGTGTCTCTTCGTTTGTGATTGTGAAAAAAAGATATACTTTTTTAGACATCGAGTAGTGTAGTTCGGTGTACTGTACTGTGATATAATGCTGTACGTTGACCTGCAATACAGTATAATATATGTACAGCGTAATGTAATGTTCTGTTATATATTTTTGTTTTAATGAAATATCAGGTTGCAAACTTTTCTATTACTGGCGGGTTACCCAACCTTGTTCCAAGGACTTTCCTCTCTTAGTTTTTTTTAGGGGAAAGTCCTGGGAACAAGGTTGGGGTTTCACTACAGTCGAAACATCTCTCCTTGAAGACCTGTCATATCGACTGTAATTTTGACAAACATGGTATCATTTCGAATGAATCCTCCTTGTCTTAGTTCAGTCTGGGAAATAAACGTCGGACAGCCCGATGCTATGTTCATGTCTGATGTAGGCCTCTTGAAACTTGAGCTATGAGGTTCAGGGCGAAATGCATCATACGCATCTCTGATCCTGTCTTGGTCAATAAGTCTAAAATG